TGGATTTTCCCTACAAAGAGCACCACAAGCAAGGAGGTATTGGACAAACTAAGGATACACCAGCAACATTTTGGAAATCCATGTAGAATTATCAGTGATCGTGGTACAGCATTTACTAGTCATGAATTTAAACAATACTGTGAGGAAGAAGGTATACAACATGTTAAGATCACCACAGGCATCCCAAGAGGAAATGGTCAAGTTGAAAGGATTCACAGAATTATAATATCTGTTCTCACAAAGTTGTGTATTGAACAACCTGATCTATGGTATCGTCATGTGAGTAGAGTTCAACAATGTCTTAATAGTACATTCCAAAGAAGTGTAAACTGTACACCTTTCGAGCTGATGGTAGGAAAAAGAATGAATATTAAAGAAAATGTAGAGATTCACAACCTACTTATGCAAGAAGAGAGAGATTTATTCATAGAAGGAAGAGAGCATTTACGCCAAAAGGCCAAGGAGCAAATTCAACTCATACAGGAGGAAAATAGAAGAAGTTACAACAGGAAGAGAAAAGACAGCACTAAGTACAGCATAGGAGATTTGGTGGCTATAAAGAGGACGCAGTATGGCACAGCCATGAAGCTAAAGCCAAAGTTTTTAGGACCTTATCGTGTCACAGGTGTCAAGGGCAATGACCGCTATGAAGTACAGAAGGTAAGTGCTAATACTGAGGGACCTAATAATACTTTGTCTGCTGCAGATTATATGAAACAGTGGCCTGTACTTACCTGACTGATCTTTTGTCGATGCTTACTTATTGATAGGTTTTGTGTATTAATTTGTTTTATTTACTTAGTGTAATATTTTAATTTTTTTCTTATGAAACTGATGTTCTGTGTATTCAGTGTATTTTTTTTTTCTCTCGCATTATACATAAAGTGTAAGGGTAGTACTTAAGTTATCATATCCTACCTACAAGGATGTTTGGTTATATTTAGAGATTAGATTAATCTGATTATATGTAACTCAACATTATATTTGTGTTCTTTTTACTGGTTATTTAATTAGGGTGTAATGTAAGGTGTTCTATATTATGTAATAGACTATTTTGTAATAATGATGTAGTGTCAGAAAAAATGATTGATGTATGACTGAGGACAGTCATTTTGTCAGTATGGCCGAATGTAGGATGCGAGAAATGGAACGAATGATTGTATGAAAGAGATAGGAATGTGGTATGAAAGTGTTGTGTGAGAGAGACAGTATGAATGGAAAATTAAGCTTGCTGATTGGTTCACGGCAGTGTGATATTCTTTTTGGAAACTATGGTGGATTCGGTTAAGACGAGAGTTTTTGGCTTATGTTTTAAATAAAACTAGAAGTGGTTTAAGATAAATATTCTTGTTATTTCTGCTGGACACCCCATCCCACATATATATTATGCTGAATTCATTTTGGAGCTTTTGGAGGCCTATAAAGTATTATTCGTATTAAAAATATTAATGTTTCATTTACCTGCTACTCCATTATTCTTTAATCCAAATCGCAGATTTTGTTGACTAAATTCATGACAGAAATCGACGGTGTGTTAACGTTAACAAACTGAATATAGACATTTTGCACGGACACGTCTAAACATTTTTATTAGTTAACAATTAATGCCAATCAATTTGTAAACTAGCTGATATGTAGGAATTCGTAAAATCTGGAAAAATATCTGATTTCCTTTCAAATTTTATCGTAGTAGTATAGAAAATGCAATATAATTCTTCGTATCATATGAGTTTGGAAATCATTTGCATTAAATCGACAAATAGAAACAAAAACGTAATCGCTACTTGCTCTGCCAATTTGACCGCAAAGTTTATTTATGAGATTCAAAAAATCAGAGTCAAAACTGCTTTATTCCATAAGTTTTAATTTTTGTTTTCTTCTTACAGGTCTAGAGGAATGTATTGTGTCAAAATAGATCACGAAGAAGATTGTCCTTTCGATTAATTCATCTAACGTAGCATAATTTATTTAAATGTTAAGTAATTTATTTTAAATTAATTGTAATAGTAAATCAATAAATCAATTCATGAAATGAATGATGATATAAAACTTTATTTGGTTGTATGACTATTATGTGATTCGATCAGTTATGTGGGTTCTGCATGTGACGAGAAATAGAGTAAAGTAATTTAGTCGCACCCTAATCCATGGGCTTGGTAGCACCCTCTCAGGAAAACTCTGCACATTTCCGCCATGGCAGCAATATAGTGTTTATCTCACGCTTGGTAGCACCCTCTCAGGAAAACTCTGCACATTTCCGCCACGGCAGCAATATAGTGTTTGTTCCACACTTGGTAGCACCCTCTCAGGAAAACTCTGCACATTTTCGCCATGGCAACAATATAGTGTTTGTCCCACGCTTGGTAGCACCCTATCAGGAAAACTCTGCACATTTCCGCCACGGCAGCAATATAGTGTTTGTCCCACGCTTGGTAGCACCCTCTCAGGAAAACTCTGCACATTTTCGCCATGGCAACAATATAGTGTTTGTCCCACGCTTGGTAGCACCCTATCAGGAAAACTCTGCACATTTCCACCACGGCAGCAGTATAGTGTTTGTCCCACGCTTGGTAGCACCCTCTCAGGAAAACTGGACATTTACGCCATGGCAGCAATATAGTGTTTGTCCCACGCTTGGTAGCACCATCTCAGGAAAACTCTGCACTTTTCCACCATGGCAGCAATATAGTGTTTGTCCCATTCGGTCAAATAAAGTATAGCTTAATTTTTGAAGTTAGGTGGTCATCGAATCGCAAAAGCGTCCAGTGAATTGCGACCATTAAATTTAACAATTTTGAGAGGTGAAGTCGAAATCGAAGAAATTAATTATAGCTGCCCCACTCTTAAAATCGGAATGAATTACTTTTTTTTTCCGTACCTATGCGGTTTGATACCTCGAGAGGCTATCTTAGCTTCTCCTTGACGTGTAGATCAGCTCATGGGGCTCTAACCGGGAGTGTTGCTAACACTGGCCCTGGCAAGAGCAGTGCTTCGCAGAATCTACCACCGAATCGGAAACGCGACTCACTGAGAAGATCCGGCGAGAAACTCAGTGGGTTGTGTCTATGGGGCAATACACTCGTCGAGCTCTTCATTGCAAGCGACGGGATCGACGGGTTCGCAAAAACGGGATTGAATAACTTGAAGGGGTTTCAAGTTGCTGCGGTCCGCGTGAGCGAACACTACTACGCTTGCATACGTCATAACGGGGCGTATGCAAGTTTTGTAGAGTGTCACCTTATTTCGAAGGGACAATTTACTTCGCTGGCAAATCATGGGATGAATTACAGCAGCGATACCTACTATTAATCCTACCACCAGTAATCAGCTATAAATTAGGAGTACTTGTAATATTTGATGATTCACAAACCGACATTATTGTATGTTTATGATGAGGAATTTGTAGGTTGCTTAGAAGAGTTCGGTACAAGGCATAAGGTCGTTGCTTGCCTTGTTCATTGTGAAGTGATGTATACGAGCTTCCGTTTTTTGGTTGTAAAATAAAATAAAACAGATACAGAATAAATGCAATAATTTATTTAGTTTCTCTTTTTTGGTGTCATTATCAGTTCCGTAATTGTACATAATAAATTACATTCGCTGCCGGCGAAGACCGATCGAAATGTCCAGTTCCCGTAAAAATATTTCCCACCGAAGTAATTCTCAGTTAAGTCTTCAAGGTCGATTTTAAATATGTAATGCTCCTAAAAAGTTATGAGGTTTTTTTTAAGCAATAATACCAAATCTTTATTACCACATTAGGCCGACGTAGATATGGTCTGATCTTAAGTGGTTCTTTTTCATACACATTGGTAATGCCAGGCCGTTTTTTTTGCTTATCGATTCGACGCTTAACTTTTGAAAACAAATCGTTTCATACATTATATTCATCAAACGGCTTTTGAAATAAATCCACTTATATTTAACGGTCTGTTGGATTAAGAAGCGTGCTATCATTTTAGCTAGCTAAATTACTTTCTCTGGATTTGTACATTCAGATAGATGTTATCAATGAGGCCGTGAAACAAAGGAGAAATTCAAAGACTCATAACATAGTAGATATTACTAATTGCGTGCGTTCGTTTTGTTTAACATTCCTATTTTTTTGTTCCATTGCGGCGAAGGCATCAATACACAACCATCCTGCATATTTCTGTCGCATAGCTGTCCAGAGTTCCAGCATACCTGCTGTGATGTCTATTGACATATGCTGGAACTCTGGACTATAATAACAAAGCGAACCGTGAGCTCTTTCACCAACACAGAAAAAATCCGGAATATTATGACCCACTGCAAAAAAGACTAATAACCTATACTAGTATATAAACACATTTCCCGCTTTTTGAAGTGAAAATTCATCAGGCACGTTGAGAGTAAAATTTAACTCGCGACATGATCGTTACGGCTAGAGAGAAAAGATACAACAGACAGAGTTTCTCGTGAACCACTCGACTTTGAGAGGAGGGAGAAAGTGAGCTAAGTAGTTTCTTTTATACACATTCTGTTTACGGGTGTCGGCCACTAGATGGCTTGTTATTAGTTTCCCATTGCTCCTGTAGATGGCAGTCACATATGAATTATCTTATATTTTATTTTTAATGAAAGATTTAAAAAAAAACATATTTCTATATATAATTTAAAATACTATATAATAGGGGTTAAGGTATGAAATTCCGGTTTTATTGTAATAGGTACTTCGAATTGACATAGAACCTTCATGGTTTATGAGTGAAACTTTTTTCAAATGGTACCTATGAGGTTCTTCTTTTAAAAAGTGTGCAACATTCGATTATCGACTTTTAGTTGTTTTTTTATTCAGCTTAGACAAGAAAGATGAATATTTCGAAAATTCGAGTGATTTTTGAATACGAGTTCCAACGCGGAAGTAACGCTGCAGAAACAGCTCGCAATACCAATGTTGCGTTTGGAGAGGGGACTGCTAATGAACGTACCGTGCGATTTTGGTTTAAACGCTTTCGTGATGGAAATTTTGATTTGAAGAACGAACCACGTCGAATGCCGCTCACACATGTGAATAACAATGAATTGAAAGAGATGGCGGAAGCCAATCCGAGCCAAACCACCCAGGAATTAGCGGCGTGGCTTAACGTTACCTTACCAACAATATCGACTGATTTGCGTCAAATCAATAAAATAAAAAAATATGAAAAATGGGTGCCTCATGATTTGACTGGTCTGCAGAAAGAAACGCGTGTTGAAACTTGTGTTGCCTTGTTGAATCGATACAGAAATGAAGTAATAATTGAATCAAACTTCCTCCGTCTATCGTCTATTGCGTGACTGAACTGGACTGAACATTAATATTCACTTTCATAGCGGTTCTCCGAACACATTGAATAATTCTCACATATCTATTAAAACGAAGACTTTATTGTCAGTGGGATAAAGCAGAGAAGCATACGCTTAATCCGAAACTAATTTTATACGCACCTTTTTAACTGTACAGTCTTTGGTAATATTCATATTAATTCGAAACAAATGTTTTATTAAGAAGTGGTCGCATGGTTCCCTCATGTGAAACTTAACCATTTCTTTACCATTTGATGTGGCTACTATACGACCCTGGAAAATATTATTATATTAGTTTCATAATTTTATTTTAGTGTCCGTAGTTTTAGTGGTATTGGGGCGTGTTGTGAGCCCGTACGGTAACATCACCCTAGCCGCCTGCACCCCAATTGACTTGTCATTTATGAGAATGTTATATGCGTATATTAATTATGACATCATGTTTTCTAATTTAAATAGAGTTGAATTGCAGCCAAAGTTTTTTTTTTAAGATTTGTTATTTGTTTTTGTAACCTTTGTTACGAGTGGTAGTAGTATCTGTATAGTATATCTGTATAGTAGATCAATTTTATGTAGAGGACCCTAAAGTTATTCCATCAGGAGTTTTCCCTTGTTTCAGTTTTCAAGCCCAAGGTGCTTGAGATGATATATTTTGATAGGTACTTTGAACATAGAACATTATTAAACTAAAACTAATAAGTAGATAGTGGTATTATTATAATATGATCCGTAAAATCATATGTATACTTACGACTGTGAGTTTAAAACTTGATTTGACCAAGATATCGTAGCTGAGGATACCACCTTTCGACCACATTTTTATTTCAGAGCAATTTTTTCTTTTTGGTCCTTTGCATGTCTCCAAACGTCCAACAACTATTTTAAGTGGACCCTAAAATAGACGTATTCATTATTTGATTGATTGAATTTAGAAATGTTATTATCTTGTTTGCTTTTATTGCTCGACTGAACAAACTCAGGCCCCGTCTGGTGTCAAGTCGTCACTGGAGCTTATAGATATCAAAGTTAATGGAAACATCCACCTTGTAATATGAGGTCAAATTTTTGAAGCACACTTCTACAATGAGTTGATAATCAGTTAATCAAAAATGTAATTTGCTTCATTTATAAATTATTGTAAACAATGGCTTAGACATGTAGTGAGGGCGCATGAGTAATTACTACTATCTTGGCTATTGCTGAAGTGAGGTTACCGTTATACCAGACGTCTATGGGTTTCCGAGGCCAGCTAACCCCAGGAAAGCCATTAGCTAACATCTAACCATTTTATTCTTTGTCTTCTTGTTCTCATTCCACATTATGTGGGATTAGCGCAGCATGTACTCTTATCATGCTTAATAGGCATTTGGTATGAACGGCCGTCTGCCTGACATAAACCCTACTAAGTTATATCTTCATGGATATGGACGTGCCAAAGGAAGGAACTTTTTCTGTTTCTTCTTTTGATGTTTCTTTAACTTCGTCCGTCTTTGGTTCTATGATTTTCAGAAACATTTACAGTATAATTTGGATTTTCAAAAAACAAAAAGATAGAATTATCATGTTTTATGTATAATATTTTTCTGTATTTTCATAATTTCATCTAACCATCTAGTGAATTAAAACAATCTAAATGTTTTGATTATAATTATTTTAAATGCTATAGTAAATCGAAAATAACAGAGGCAATGATCAATTACTTACGTAATCTAGTTTCGGGTTTGTCGACGATAAAACAGATATAATGATCAAAGTAAATAAACTCCAAATAAACATAATATGCATAACGAAACGGTTAAAGTGCATACGTGAATAAATAAATTAGTTCTGTGTCTAAGTTTAGATAAAATGATCAGGAGACCTGGGTTGAAAGGCACATTAAAAAAAAAGATATTATATTTTTTTCTATTTTCACGAGTAGACACACAATGAACATTATGATATGACACAATGAAAACTAATTTTCTGGTTTAATGTCGTGTTTATTAGTTTTCACGAACATAAGGTGTCATTAGACAATAGACTATTGCGCTGATTATCGTCTAATTTATATCAATAATAGCTTAAAAAAATCTAACAAAATACGATTTTTGGACGTCCGGGGCGGGCTTCATCTTGGACACATGTACGACCGCGTTTAAACTCAGCCACCCAGTTTTTTACTGTGGCATAAGAAGGAGCACATTCACCCAAAAAATTCTTTAACTCGTCATAGATATCTTTTCCCTTCATGCCCCACAAATGAAGAAACTTTATCACCGATCTTTGTTCAAATTTATCCATTTTGAAAACACTTGACGAAATATATTTTCAAATGACAAAAAATCAATAAAATTTTCACGCCACCAAATTCAAATTTAGAACACAGGTGCCCAGAGAGACGAATTTACAAATGACATAATTTTTTTTAATTATAAGTTTTTAAAATTAAAGAGGCTAGTTACTTATCATCCCGCCCTCGTAGATGTGGAGATGTTTCCTGAAAATGTACTATGGATGAACGCAGTGATTCCAGGTAGTGAAAATAAATTCTGCTTCAAGGGCGAGTGGTGTGATTGTAAATAAAGATGATAAGATCATCTCGATTCTAGAGCATTCTTCCTCAAGATACAAAAAAGTTATTTTTGAGGAAATCGTTCGTCAAGACCAAAGTTCAATGTAACCCTGTCTCCTCTAAGTAGACAATAATGTTCCAAAACCACACAAAGTCACGCCTGGTTAGGCAAATTAGACAACAATGATTACCAAATGGAAATATAATGATTTAAAATGGTCAAAATTTCTCATGGACCCAATTTCATCAATTTCAGCATCATTTTAACGGTGACACCCTGGCCCAGGGTATGAGTTGGCCGAAGAGGGCGACCGGGGGTGTGAAATTCCTTCTCCTAATGCGGGAGGAAATTCGTGTGGAGTTTCCCCTTTGAAATAGCACCGCAGTGCTTTTCGCTGGGTTGATGTCTATGCACCATTTTCTGAACCACTGTCCGAGGGTTATAGCTGCGCTCTGGAGTTTCCTCGCGATTAGGGCCTTGTTTTTTATTCGAATAGTAAATAGTCGTGTCGTCGGCGAATAAAGCTAACTGGATCGGCGGCGACCGGGGAATATCGTTGACGAATAAACTAAATAGGAGCGGCGAGAGGACAGAGCCTTGCGGAGCTTCAACCGTGAGAGTTCACGGGGGCAAGTTCCCTCAATATCTCTCTCGATATCGAAAAGAGCGGTTCGACAAGAAGTCCCGTATGATGATCACGACACTGTCCGGCACTCCCGGGTGCCCATGTTGAATAGTTTGAAAATCAAACCATTGTGCCAGACTTTGTCGAATGCTTTTGCCACGCCGAAGAAGAGGGCTCCCGTGTATAACGGTTTTGGTCGATTAAACCTTACCAGGAGTTGCTCTGTGAGGGGGTGCACCTGTTATACGAGAGATTTGCGCGGAATCCGAATTGTTCACTGATGAGAATGCCCTTGGATGAGACGAAGTCTCTGAGACGCTTGTACAGCAGACGCTCACACAGTTTGACTAGAGATATGAGGAGGCTAATCGGGCGGTAACTCGTCGGATGATTTTTTGTCTTACCGGGTTTATGTATGCCGATAACGACCGCTTCTTCCCACACCGCGAGAAAGATACAGTTCGCGATAGCGGCTTTGAAAATAGATTCCAACATCACGATGAGTTGGACGACCTACGTCCAACGTTTGATTAGGTATTTAACTTCCATCGGGGTGACGGGTTGTACCGCATCCTAGGGTGGCAAGGAGGCTCTGCGACCTCACTGTCTGCCACCTCTACACGGACAGGGTCCGGGGATTCCCGGCACCCAGGCGGACCCTCCGGCGCGCACTCTGTGTGGCTGGGGGCTCCGTCTATGGTGGAGTTTTGCTGGACTTCCGCCGGGCGCGTCCGTAGGTGGCGGATAACTGGCCTCTGGGAGCAGTCACACTCCCAGGGGTATCGCTCCTTCTCTCTCGTTGTATTACGGCGGGGGAGCTTGAGCGACGCGGACCAAAACCAGCAGGGGGGTTCCGTGCGCTCCACGCCCTTCACTGGCTGAAGGGTGTTCCTCCTGGAGACGCTTGGACTCCCTCTCTTTTCCCCTTCTTCTTCCTCTTTTTGGTTTACTTTTTATTCTGTCGTTCTTCTTATGTTTTATCTTTCTTCCTTTTATTGTTTTGCCCTGTTTTTGTTTTTGTTTTGTTCGGGTCACGCCTGTCCCTTTTTTTTCGGCGTAGCCCGCAGGAGATGGTGCGCCACTTTTTGCCTGCCTTTCGATGGATAAGTGAGCCAGCGTTGCTTACGCATCTTCCGGCCGCTGGTCGCCATGTCCCCGGCTTCGGCTACAGGGGAACGCCGTCCAGAGGGGTGTACCGGTATACCGGCGTGGCTTCGTCGTTGTTGCTCGTTCGAGCGTCGGGCGGTGGTCTGTCGTGTCGTTTGTTGCACTCGGCGGGCCGCCAGCCAACCCGTAATTCTCACCGCGTGGGGGACGGGGGCCGCTGCCGCGAGGCACGGGTCTGCGAGGACGTAAACCTCTTTAAAAAATGCCCCAATCCTAAGCTCTGGTGCCCCGCGATGGGATGAACGGGTACCACTGTAGGGTACCACCAGACCCCAGGGGAACGACCCCTGGTTAATAAAAAGGAAATATGAAACAATGACAACAGTTTGTCGAGTATATCCGGTCGATGTGCAATATTTCGGAGGTAGTGAGTCGGCGTTAGTAGAGCGACGATATCGAAGGCGAGATCATCGACTAACGCGTCGAGGCGCCTACCGTTAGGAGTTGCGGTGTGCGAGTTCCACCTGATGTGTTTACAATTTAGGTCACCTGCCAAAATGACAGAGGTGCCCATACCGAGCAGCGCCTCGATATCACTGCTTAAAACGATCTTATCCGGTGGAAAACAAACGGACGCGATAACGATCGGTGCGTGTCCCGTCAGTGAGATTCGGTAAACTGATGCTTCGATGTTAGCAAGCGCGGGAGGATCGAGCGGGACGCAATGCAGCGCTCTTTTATAGTAAATGACGGTACCACCACTACGAGCAGTAAGCCTGTCGTTCCTAAGAATGTTCGCGATTTTAGGGGCGCAGAGCGCGGGCTTGAGTAGGGTCTCCTGCACTAAGAAAATATCAATTTGATGGTCACGCAAAAAATCACAAACCTGATCACGTTGATTTGCGAGACCGTATCTGTTAAAAATCCTATCTTTACGGATAGGGGTTTCATTCGACCTATGTACGCCATTGATTACCGGCGGAGTGAGGGGAGGACGTACGTATTTAACGACGCATATACGTCAGTGTATTCCTGCACAACGGTGATGAAGTGTTGTACAGTGGAGGCAGCGCGGATGGCTTCGCCCAAAGCGTTAACGCGCTCAAAGTTGATCGACTGAAAAAAGTCGATCGCTAGAACGAGATTGTCGGACGCGGTCGGAGGGCAAGTCACGGGAGAAGGACTAGTCGCCGGGTAGGGACGAGGCACGCGGGTGGGACGAATCGCGTAGGAGGGACTTGCAGCCGTGTTCGTGTACGGTAACGGTTTCGTCTAGGCCGAGACGCTGGACACCGGCGCCGGAACGATGGAACGCTTACCCTTCGGCACAGAGGGTGCCGAGGCTTTGTTGTCAGGGCCGGAAGCTTGGGGGCGGTTTTGGCGGGCGACGCGGGGATTTATTTTTGGGGCTCGGGGGCATCCATTGTAATTTGGGGGGTGACCTTGTGTACGGCACAGGACGCGGTTAGGCGGTTCGGTAGCGGTTTTCTGGTCGGGCGCACAAAGGGTCGTGGCGTAATTGCCCAAACA